GCAATCAGTACAGGCAAACAGGAGACACCAGAATCATAGTTTAATTAATACTTCTATTCACTATCAGCAAAAGAATTTTTACTTGAGGAGCATACCAGAAGATCTAAGTGTAAAAGGAGAATAGCAACCAAGGGTCTTTGCTCAGGTAAAGAGCTCTGGAGATAAATGAGTAAAACATGCATTGGATCTAGTATTCCCTCATTCTGAAAGCCACTTAAAAAAAAATTAATGTCTTTCCTCCTGAAATGAGAAATAGTGGCATCAATTTATGGTTAGAACAATAAATCCATAGCAATAACACTGCAAAACCGTGCATACTATGGAAATTACTGAAATAAGCATATCTCACTCGTGCAGAATGATGTAGTACATAGGCAAAGGATGCTCTACAGCATGCTACTGATAATTGATGCACAACAAAGAAAAAGCAAACTAAAAGTTAAAACATAATACCTGTCCAGGCATATTAGTTCTGTCAGCAGCAACACTGCATTTTCTCTTGATTTAACTTGTTTGTTGTGGATTAGCTCACGAAGACATGGTTTCTTAATGTTCCTAGCTATGTAATTTCTGCAACCATTGTCTGTCTCAAGAAGAACAAATGTGAACACCCATTACGAAGGCATTTTAGGATTTATCATTTTTTGACATGAACACATATATAACACAACTCATTTATCATAGGAAAAATGTGTTGCTTTTTTTTTTCCTTTTTTGTCTTTCTGAATGGAGTATAATGCGTGAGTGTTTTTAACCTACATAACTTCCATGGCTATTGTTTCCTGTAAATAATACTGGGCAATTGTTGTGTGTTTGGCATAATCTTATAATTCCTAATATATTATCTAAAGTTTGCTCGAGTAACTCATGTTGTCGTGCTTGATAAAGGCATGTCGTTTGAGCATGTCTTTTCTTCTTTTTTTGTCATTTTTAAAAAAATAAAAGTAAAACATTATTATTATTTTTTTGTCTTTTCATTTGACCAGCTGTTATTTATCATGTTGGTGTTCATTGGTGTTTTAATTGTGTAAGCCGTAATGGTTAACTATGTACTTGTTTTTAGGAATTTAGTTTTTGCTTGATTTTCAAACTTACTCGAAAACATTTCTACATTTTGTTTCTTCACTTGATTTTGCTTTCTGAGTTCTTAGCTATGGTGTGGGACAAAAATATGGATTCAAGTTACAATAATGACTTTCCAAGTTCATGAATATCTAAGACCTAAGGTGAAGTTTCTTATCCTATCTCTTCATGGAGTCCAGAATAGTTACAACTTTTGTTGTCCATGACATGAATTTTTTTAGTTATTTAATCTCAGCTCTGTGATTCATATGAAAATGTTTCTATCTCCGACAAGTTTGGGTGTTGTCTGTGTCGGAGATGGACTATGAGTGGCAACTGGGTTCCTAGAGGTCTGCTTTAGAATCTATGGCCCTTGACTTGTTATTCTTGTTGAAAACCTTATCCATGTTAGCTTCACCTGAACTTTAGATATAACTATTTTTCCTGTGATCCAGCAATATGTTTCATGTGTTTAGTTGTTTTGAGGGCAGCACAGAAGCAACAAATCTAATATGACATAATACATGGGGAAATATAGTGATATCCTTCAAGAACTTCATACACAACAAATATCATAAATACATGCAGAAATATAACGGAAAAGAGAAGTATTCCAAAGAGATATTCAGAGAAATAAGCAACCTAATTCATAATAAGCTGAAAAATTCATTAAAAGTAGAGAAATTCATACCTATTCATTTTCTTTTGAAGCTTGTTGCCCACTAGATGCATCTGACACCTACAATATGTTAGTATAATGTGTTAATAATTTCCATATGTATATATACAAATTGATAAAAAAAAAACGTAAAATTCGTCAATTTGTAAGTATTGCACCTCTCTCAAGCTCATACTCCCAGCCACACCCTGTGACTCTAAGAACAAAACGCGTGCCATTAGGTTCTTGTTTGCAAAGTATCATAATGACAAGTGCATATTATATTTGTAAGTGTTTTTGTACACATCAATAAAAAGAATAAGTTTGCAAAGTATCACAATGACAAGTGCATATTATAGTTCAAAAAGTACACAAAATAAAACCAATGGCCCATGAACACTTTTAGTTCAATAATTTAGCCAACTAAGTTACCTTGGCATTGTTTAAAAATAGAGAAGAAAAAAAAATGACCATTCATGGTATTAATCTGATGCCTCAACTTTTAAGGTGTTAATTGGGGACATTGGTTCCTACGAACCCCATAAAGTAAAGGCAGCCTGAACCTTGGTAGAGTTGTTGGTCCTATTATATTGTTTTTATCTTGGAAATAATGACCATTCATGGTATTGGGCCAAACCATCAATGTAGGAGACCTCAAAGCATGGACAATTTGTATAGTAAAATTTTCATGATTTGTTTGAATAGAGAGGGCTCCAAAATATTGTGGCTCTAATTGAACATGGTTGAGAAAATTTAACACTTAACTGAATCTTCTATTTTGTTGATTGAGGAATTGAGGTTGACCATACAACAAGATTTGGTTTTATCGATTTTTTAGTTTATTGTAATTGAGTGATTTATAGAAGATTTTATAAAAATTTATAAAATTGCACATCATGAATAAATAGAGTGTAGGAGCTGCTCTATAAATGTATTTCCAGTCTTTATTGCAAAGTAATCACTTATGTTTTAATATAATATTTCAGTCAATATTAGTTTAAAAATTCTTCAAAATCAAAAAAAGAGTATACTATCCCACAACCAAACATCCTCATTATATAGAAAAAATTTCCATCATCTACAAACCGACAACAATAGTATCATTCATCTCCCTCCATTGCCCTCTCTACCACAAATGCATGCACCTAGAAACCACCTCTACCAAACCCCTATTGACTGTTTTGACCACGATCATACATCAATGATCTTAATGATCTGGCCTAAATGTGAATGCAACAACTCAGACTCATTCAGTAGAAAACCTAACCCTCATTTCTTGGCCACTATTGTAAACCTAGCTCCCTTAAATAATTTCAAGTACACAACTATTATTATTAATATTTTTTATTTGAATTGAGATTTTGAGATTTAGATTTCTATTTAAATCCCACAATTTAGCCAACTAAGTTACCTTGCTCATTTCTCGGCCGCTATTGTGGAACTCGACTCTGTAAAAAATGAATGGATTTTTTCTCCTCTTTTTCTCTTGAATTAACTAAGAGTTTAAATCATATCAATTTTTTTTAGTAAAAAAAAAGCACATATGGGGACAGATCTGACCTCTGACTACTGGCGTCAATTAAATAACAAAAGAAAACAGGCAAAAGTAAGGTTGGACAAAGAGTCAAGAAAAACATGAACTAGAAATTAAACTATTTCTTTAACACATTTGATATCTCTATGAGCCCATCTGGCAATTGATCTACATTACTAAATGATTAGGCCACATGTTACACCAATGCAGAGGGAAGTTACAGAAGAAGAGAAATAAGTTCCATGTACAAAAAGTTACTCTGCTTGCAAAATACTAGCCACTACAAGTAGATCACAAATTTTTCAACAACAAAAAACTACTGAACAATGTTGAGGCAATGATCTGATTCTGAATGTGAGAAAACCATAAATTCAAATTAGAATTCCAGAATTTGATCCGCAAACAATGAAGACAAGCAGACAATGAAATTCATATCTAAGTCGCAACACTAGAGAAATTAATTTTAAATGTAGAAAAAAATCATTTCAGATTCAAACTCTCTGGATCATAATTCGGATTTGAGTTACAGTAAAATTCACTGATAAATTATTGAACAAAACAGAATGCAGATTCAGCGTAGTATGACTTATTCAAAGCAATGATCTGATTCTGAATATGAGAAAACCGTAAGTTCAAATTATAATTCCAGAATTCGATCCACAAAAATGAAGATAAGTAGACAGTGAAATTTATATATAGGTTGCTATGATCATCTGTAAATGAAAATCAAACGCTGAACTGTACTAGTAGAAGCGAGTCCTGCTCGGTTATCTCCGATTCCTTCACTTTCTGTACAACAACCTGATCAATCGAGAAGATTGCAGCGAGATTAGTGGATAAGCAACAAGTTAACGAAGAAGGCGTAAAGATGAACAAGAAGTGAATGCTTCGAAGAGATTTATCTGATCTCACCATGTTTACTAATCTCACAGAGAAACTGAGACAAGAGAGAGAGAGAGCAATTTAGAGCACACTTGATTTCTCGGATCATTACAGAGAGAGTTGAATCGATGAAGATGTGTTTAGGCTTACCGATTATGAAATCTTCAACAGTTGTGGACTTGATCGACAGATTTGAGCGAAAGATTCGAGTGACAAATTCGAGCAAAAGAGATAGTGAGATTCGAGCGAGAGTCAAGCGAGAGACAGATTTTGAGAGGGAGAGAAAGAGAGTTCAGATTTGGGAAATAAGAAAAAAAGGAGATTAAGGGAGAGAAAGAGAGAGTCAAGTTTTACTAATTTTTATTTATTTTATTTTTTTAAGAACACGATTGGGTCAGGAAAATGGGATGGTAAAATGAGATTTTGATGTCTAAAAATGATTTTTTGTGACTGTTAAATAATCAGTCACAAAAAAGTAGACGCAAAAAATTATATTTCTAGTAGTGTTCAAAAGTTACAATTGTGACAAATCAGATATTAATATATATTACATCACATCATTATAAAGTAAATTGTGAATTATTCTTTTGTGAGCCTTAAATATTTTTTATAATGATGAGATTTTTATTTTTGCGTATATGTCTAATGTAGAAATATAAATCAGATAATTTTTATGAATAAATCCACGCACCATGTTCAGACATAAAATAATGATAATAATAATAATAAATAGATAAATAAAGAAGTCCACACCCGCCAATAAACAGACTACTCAACTCCTGGACTTTTACAAAGGGAGGCCACACTCTGAGCCGCTCCTGCAGCTCGAAAACCATAATCAGGGTTACGATTGTATCTTGAAACATGGGCTGGTCCAGATCCCTGGTCTCCATGGCAGTGGTTGTGGTTATGTCTATGATGGTATTCGTTTTATCAACGGCGGTGGACATGTGGACCGATGAAAAATCGGTGGTGTGGAGGAGGTCGGAAGAGGAGCTGATGAGTATGTACGAATCATGGGTTGTGAAGCATGGAAAGTCCTACAACGGCGAGGCCATGGCAGTGGGTGAGAAGGAGAGGAGATTCGAGATCTTCAAGGAAAACCTGAGGTTCATCGAGGAACACAACGCTGAGAACCGGAGCTACAAAGTGGGTCTGAACAAGTTCGCTGACCTGACCAACGAGGAGTACCGATCCATGTACCTGGGAGGTGCAAAGGCCGGCACTAGGCGGAGGCCTTCCATGCCCAAGGTCACCGACCGATATGCTCCTCGCCTCAACGAGGCCTTGCCGGACTCCGTCGATTGGAGGAAGGAAGGTGCTGTTGTTCAAGTCAAAGATCAGGGTAGCTGTGGTATGTGCTTCATTCTCTCTCAAATTCACAATATTGCCCTTGGTTTATTTTATTTTATTTTTTAAGTTAGGATAGGAATTCCAAATAATCAAATCGAACTGAGTTTTAAGTCTCATCAAATCGAATTGGCCGATAAGAATCTTAAATAATTTATCAAATTTTCTACTAAATCTCTCACATTATGTGAGACCTATATATACGTGGATTTGTGTGACTCTTATGCTAAGAAATTTGATAAAAAAATTAATAAATTATTTAAAATTTATAGCATTTTTTTTTTCAACTCAAATGGTAACAAGCGCCCCATGTTAATTTTGGAATTGTGATAAAAAGTGATTTTGAAAAATAAAGTTCAAAGATTAAAAATTTGAAAAATGTCTCGCAACTCAAATTTTATGAAATTCATAAAAAAAATATTTTCAAATGTAATTTATTTATTTTTTATTTATTTTTTCCTTGTGCCCAGAAATATTTGTTATTAAGACCTTTTCTTGAATTGATATTTTAATCCGCATATACTTAATTAAAAAGAAACAAACAAAATTGTGACAATTATTGAACAATTAATGGTTGTGGTCCACAACTTCTGGAGTTTCATATTTTTTATAATTTAAAAAATATATTTAATTGATAAGGTGGTGGTTTTGGATAATATAAATAAGTACATTTTTTGACTTTTTATGAAATATAGGTTGGATATAGGTTGGGTTTGAAGTGATGTGTTAGAGAGGTGATGTGATTTAAATAAAATGATGTGACTTAAATAGGATAGTGATTTTTTGACTTTTTGACTTTTTTAGATCATGTCAAACAAGACCTTAGTTTATTTATTTATTAGAGGTGTTTGAGAATATACTATTTCTAGTTAATTTTTTTTAAAAAGGGTACAGAAAAATAAAAAGAATAATGAAATTGAATATTTTGACTTATTAATTATTTTAACCGTAACCCAACTTGTCAAATGGAGCCTTAGGCCTCGTTTGGGAACCAACCCGTTTAGTAAAAAAGTCAAAAAATTACTAAAAAAGACAAAAAATCAACAACTCATACTAAAAAGTCAAAGATTTTATTTTCTCTCTACTTTTTGCACATCTTTTCGTAAAAAGTCAAAAAGTCATCTCAAATATACTAGTTTTTTTTAGCTTATATTATAGTCAAATAGTCAAAAAAATTAATAAATTAACCTGTTCCAAAACGATGCAATATTTAAGTTGTACTTGATGAGAGGAAAAGTTTTAATCCAACTTTGGTCCGGTATACTAATTTATAAAATATTAATTGTAATTTTATATTTTTTAGTTATAAAATAAAGTAAAATATTTATAAAAGATAATAAAGTAAAATATTTATAAAAGATATATATATATATATAAAATTCATTCACTTATATTAAAAAATTGGAGAAATTATAATAAAAAAAATTAAAATTTGAGCAGTATAACAAAAGAAATCTTAAGTTTTTAATTTTATCAATTTAAATTTTGATTTATTGTCAATCTTAACTAATTATCTAATTTTGTTGAGTAAACTGTCAGAAAAAATATATTTTAGTCATAAAAATTAATGAAAACGAAGTATTTTAGACATTTTTCATACATCCACATTGAGTTTAATTATTAAAATACATATTTTTTGACAATATTACTTAACGAAAAAAAGTGTATGATTTAGATTGAAAATAAATAAAAGATTACGGTTTAAATTGATGAAATTAAAAATTTAAGGTTTCTTTTGTTACAAAGCTCAAATTTTTCTTCTTTTTCTTTTTTTTTTTTGTAATTTTTTCTAAAAAATTTGTTAAAAGATATTTTACCATTGAATTTTGTTAATGTTTCAAATTCAAATAGTAATTAAAATGATCTAACTAATTTAATATCACTTCAAGACAAAAATAAAAAAATAAAAACACTAATAGCATATATCTATTGAGTTAGGTGAGCGGGCTTAGAATTTAAAAGTTTTTTTAAGGTCAAGATTGGGTTAGTTAGATTAGGCCCGATAACTGGCCGTGCTTAGAATTACATATTTTCTTACTATATAGTGCAAGCTGAGGTTTGTTCACCTCTAACAAAATATCTTAGTTCATTTTCTAAATCTTATTTACACTTCTTTAGTTTATTTTACGGATTGAGTTTCTTTGAAGTTCAACTTTGAATTTGATTGTCATATTCAAACTCATAGGACTCATTACGATTGTCTATTTTGTAGAGTTCTATGACTATATATCATTTATAAAAAAAATTACGTTGATTCAATAATTGTAAGATTTTCATTTTATTGTATTTGTTTTCAAAAAATAGACGACACGTGTATTTTTGAAAATAGGCCATCTATTTATTTTCAAAAGAAATGCAATAAAATGAAAAAGTTACAATTATTGACCAACCTAATTTTTATATACATGAAGGGTCATACAAAATGAAAACTATCGATACAGACCTGTGGAGGTCTCATGAATCCAAACATAACGTTCAAATTCAAACTTAAATTTGAAAAAGTCTAATCCTTTGGGGTCGGATTTTTCTTAAGGAGAAAATTACTCATCAGTGGTAAGTTGGGGGAAGTTGTTATACATACAGGGAAAAGTATATAATTTTAATAATTAATATTGATAAAATTTACCATTGATTTATAATTATTTTTGGGGGATGCACCAATAAATCCCAAATTAATAACTTATGCACTGTTTAGTCCTAAAAGTTTTCTTATAGACTGAAAGGTCCCATTACAATGTTAATAACATCAGATACAATGTTAATAACATCAGAGTCATGTTACAAACATTGGATTTCAAACATCTAATATTCATCAAATTTCAATAATGTTTGAAAATATAGGATGAAAAAATCTAATGTTCATCAAATTTCAATAATGTTTGAAAATATAGGATGAAAAAATCTAATGTTCATCAAATTTCAATAATGTTTGAAAATATAGGATGAAAAAATTCTAATGTTCATCAGATTTCAATAAATTTTGAAATTATAGAATGAAACATCAGATCATTTACATCATTCACATCATGTTGATGTAAAAATGGGACTAAATGGAGCATAAGAAAACTTTTAGGACTAAATGGTTCAACGTTTCAAAAACTAGGACTTATGGGTAAATTTTTTTAACTTTTAAACTGATTTGAAATTTCCCCTTTTTTAAGGCCCCGTTTTAATTTAAAATCAAAAAGTTACTTTTTTTGCTTTTCTGCATGTATTTAGTAAAAAAAATTAAAAACTTACTAAAATAGTTAATTTCGAAACCACCAAGCTCAAATTTAAAATTGAGGAAAAATAAACCGTCTACAACCAGTCTTGTTTTTATGATATAAACGGTTTATTTGGTAGGACTTTCCATGTATGTCATTTTTAAAAAAAGAATAGAATGATCTGATAATCGTATAATTCTCCATTTATTGTGTTTATTCAAAAAATAAATAAAATTTAGATATATATATATTTAGAAACATATTGGTCTATTTTTTATTTTTTTTTAATTTAAGACAAATGTGATAAAATAAAAGTTATAATTATTGGATTGATCTTATTTTTTCATGGATGAACTTATAAAATGAATAATTTAAATTATCAAACTAAAACATATGTGGTATTTCACGGGCGTCTCAAATTATCTAAAAATTCAAATTTACACCTAAAGAGAAAGCTCACCAATCCCGTTCATGGGGCATGTTTCTCTATTCACATATGTGGTATTTCACCGGCGTCTCAAATTATCTAAAAATTCAAATTTACACCTAAAGAGAAACCTCACCAATCCCGTTCATGGGGCATGTTTCTCTATTCACAATAAATTTCAAATGAATTATTAAATATTTTATACAATAACTTATATGAGTGAGTCTTATGTGATGCATTATTGAATATTTTATACAATAACTTATATGAGTGAGTCTTATGTGATGCAGATTTCATACTCATATAAGTATTATGTAAAATATTTAATAAATATTTAATAAATTTATTTTTAAGGCTTCGTTTGGCATATAGTTTTTGAGTTAAAATAATCAAAAAAAGATAAAATGTGTTAAAAAGTCAACAAGACAAAACATCACATCTAAATAATAATCATTTCATTTTTTCTCACAAGAGTCAAAAAAGCCAAAAAACCTATTCCAAACAAAACTTCTTAGCCGTAAATAGCCAAAAAAAGTCAAAAAGCTAAAAAGTCAACTCACATTCCAAACGTAGTCTCTAGCTTTGCTCCTCCATTTATTATAAAACCACAATGCTTGGTACATTAAGGCCTTGTTTGGTTTGTGTTTTTTAGATATTATTTTAAAAATAATTTTTTGAAGAGAGTTTAAAAAATTTGTTTGGTTATATATTTTGAAATTTTTTTTAAAGTTTTGGAGTTTTTGATGATTTGATAGTTTTTCCTGCAGTGGTCCCTGTAATGCCCCTAAACGATATCGTTTTGGAATAAAACTAAAGCAAAAAAAAAAAAAAAAAAAGAGAGAAGTTGAATTGAGAGGGGGACGGAATAGAGAGCATCACCGAGAGCATCACCGACTTCTTCTCTCTTCTCGCAGATCTCCTTTTCTGTCGTAGATGTCTTTCAGATCTGTCTAAGATCTCTTCTCCTAAATAGGGGTTTCCAGATCACCGAGAAGAAGAGGAGGAAGAGAGCTCGCGCTAGCGGTGGTGCGAGGGTGGGTTTGAAGCGTTGGTGGTGGTGCGACGGCGTAGGGAGGAGTAGGAGGAAGAGCAGTTGCGCAGCTGAAAGGTTGTTCCGAGGCAGCCTCGATCGCCGACGATGGAAGCCAAACCCAGAAAGCATAGGAAACTTGGATTGTTTTGGGTTGAGATTACTGAATCAACATAATAATACCTTAGTTATTCATTAATGGCCTTGATTTGTTTCAATTGAAATTTGCGTTGTTGGTCCAACATTTAATAATCTGCTTCTACTTCAACATTCAACAATCTGAAAAATGAAGAGAGAGAGAGAGAGAGAGAGAGAGAGAGAGAGAGAAATAATCAAGAAATTTCAATGGTGTTTAGTGGCTTGAATCAATTGTTGCAAGGCTTCTCGCCGAAGTGGAAGGGGAAAGGGCTCTGCTTCTGCTTTTAATTCTTGTTTTCCAGATTTTTTTTTTTTTTGGGGGATAATTTTGTCCCGAAACAACGTTGTTTTGGGACACTGCAGGGAAGCATTGCAGGAAAGCACTGCAGAGGTAGTTGAATAGATGAGTGTGAGAAAAAAAGTGATTGAGAATGATAGAGAAGAAAAAAAAAGTGATTGATTGATGTGTAGTAGAGAGAGAATTGATTTTGTAACTTTTTTTTTTTTTTTTATAATTTTCAACCAAACATGTTTTTGGAATTTTTTTTTCTCCAAAAACATGTTTTGAGAGACAAATCAAACATGCCCTAAATATTTATCAGAAATTCTACTAAAACACTCACACGATCCAATGTTTAACATTGATTTATACATAACCATCCAATCTCAAATAAGTTTTTAAAGAATTGAATATAAATCAAATTTGAGTAACTTGATTCATTTAATAGATCTGTTGTCAAATGAGTGGGTCAAAGCTAAATTAGCTGGTGGGATTCAAATCAGCAATTTCCTTGTGGGTTGATGGGTTGATTTACACTTGCAGTTAGAATGTGCATAAAATTTATTAACTCGAGTGTGCCAAAGATTCAACTATTCCGTCTGTTTTGAGGATAGGTTGGTTAAAAAATTCTTAATCAGCTAAGGATGGATTAATTGATGATTTTTACCCAAAAATTAATCTAAATCGATCACCGTATACTCCTACTAACAATTGCTTTGGAAGTTACTCTCATCGGTTGAGTTTAAAAAAAAATTAAAAAATAGTTTGGTAAAGAAAATAAAAAATATACTCATTATTTAAATTTTTTAGGAAAGAAAATCATTTTTGAAAATCTTAAATGTTTTTGTTGTCTATTTTTGTCAAATTCATTTTAATATTTGATTTCAAAAATCAGCTTTTAAAAAATAAACCAAACAGAAAGCATTGTTGATTGTGCAAGCCATAGTTGACTGTGAGAAGCTCTTGTAGTAAATGGAAACGATGCCATCTAGTTTAGGTGGGGTTTGCCTTTGCATAGCAAAATCGGAGGCGTTGATGTCAAGAAGTAATGGCGTGTCTAGATCCTAGTTATAACTTGTAAGACTGTTTAGTTCAGTTTGAACACAAATTGCAGACAAGTCCTCCCATCCTTACTGGATTGGAACTTATATGTAATTTTTTAGTTTGTGTAGCAGTGTTTTGTGGGTTGGATGATTGTTGTTGTGGTATTGGTTTACAAATCAAAGGATCATCTAACTCGTACAACTCTGTTGTACAATTACATTCTTCTTAATTTCCTTTCCGTATTTATTTTGGGTAATTTTATTTACATACCACTTTTTTTTTTTCCAAGTATTCACCATCATTTAATTTTTTTATTACAATTTTATCCTTCAATTAAATTACTAGCTCTCTCCTTGTTGCCCCCCCCTCTCTCTCTCTCTCTCTCTCTCTCTCTCTCTCTCTCTCTCTCTCTCTTCTTCTTCTTCCAACCCCTCTCTCTCTCTCCTTCTGTAACTCGTGTTACTTTTCTTTGTCGTTGTTGCTGCAACTTGTGCAACCTTTCCTCTCTACTATCGCAACTCATTAGCTCTCAACCCTTCTCCTCTACCATCGACACTAAAAAAACCTAAGTTTTAAGATCCATTTGCCTAAAAGAAGAAAGATGAGAGGATGGGATGGTCAATGGCAGAAGGGAAGAAAGTGGCCAGCGATCGGAGAGGTAGCCGCTGCAGGCGGTGGCGGTGGCGGTGGCGGTAGTGGTTGGGTTAGGATTTGTTGGAGAAAATGAGGGTAATATGACATTATATGAAATTTGGTGGTGTGTATTGAGATATAATCTATATATTTAATCTGTGTGATGTGTGAACTGAGTGAATACTGAGAGCAGATGGTGTGTAAATAGAATTCTTCATTCATTTATTTCAATTTTTTTTTGGGGATAATTACCACAAAAAAGAACAAAAAAAAAAAAAAAGACAGAAAAAAAAACCCAAAGTCTAACCTTTATAATAAAATAAATCATCATTTTTTAATTTATAAATTTAAACTGTAAACTTTTGATTTGTTTTCAACCTAAACCATTTGTTTATTCTCGTTAAATGAACAGATAGAAAAAAGAGTATTTCAGCCATTAAAAGATTTAAATACCATTCTTATTAAGTTTAATGACCAAAATATTATTTTTTGCGTTGGTTTTATTAACAAAAATAGATAAATAGTTTAGATTAAAAATAAATCAAAACATCATAATTTAAATTGATAAAATTAAAAATTTAGAATTTATTTTGTTACAGGTGTCAAATTCTAAGAATTTTTTAGTAATTACCTCTTTTTTATTATTAAATATATTCAATATTAATCCGACTTTGTAATGATCACACTTGCACTGTGCACACAAATAACACTTGCACCAATCACAATATTGTCACGTACACCAGTATACATAATTTTCACATTCACCCAATAGATTTCCATAATTTTTTTTGAGTTGCCACATTTTTACGGAGAGAAAAGCGATAACATTGTTTTAGGGAAAATTAGTAAAATGACCCTCTCCAACTTTGTATAGTAGGAGAGATTCAAGATGTTTTTATTAGTAGCTAAGGTCCCTCAATATTTTCACAGAGAAAATTTGAAATTTTGTCCGATTTAAAGAAATATCGGCCCCGACTCAAAGAAATTTTTTTTTGAAAATTGAAATTTTTCTGAGTCAAAGCCAAATTTTTCTGAATCAGGCCAAATTTCAAAATTTACGGAACTAACATCAACCTTAATGATTTGTTCAAAGTATAATCTAATTACAAAGCCCTCAACGCTTTGTTTGGGGGGGGGGGAGGACAAAAAATTTCAACAATAGTTTTTGTGGACTTGATTCATATTTCCTTGTGTGTGTTGTGATTTAATAATGTGTATTGATTGATTGAAAATGAAGGGAGTTGCTGGGCTTTTTCAACAATTGCTGCTGTGGAAGGGATCAACAAGATTGTGACTGGTGATTTGATCTCGCTATCAGAACAAGAGCTAGTGGACTGTGATAAATCTTATAATGAAGGATGCGATGGGGGTCTCATGGACTATGCTTTTGAGTTCATCATCAACAATGGTGGTATTGATAGCGAGGAAGATTACCCCTATAAAGCTAGAGATGGGACATGCGACCAATACAGGGTTGGTATTGAGTTCTTCTTTAATTGAGTGATCAAGAAAAATGTACATGGTGAAAAAAACAAGACTTCATATCATTCTTTGTGAATGAATTATTGTTTGTACAGAAAAATACAAAGGTTGTTACAATTGATGATTATGAAGATGTTCCTGAAAACAACGAGAAGGCATTGCAAAAGGCAGTGGCAAATCAACCCGTGAGTGTTGCCATTGAAGCTGGTGGCATGGCATTCCAATTCTATGCCTCTGTAAGTTTCTATCTTGGTTTTTGTTTGGAAGTTTAGATTATGATGATGATAAATCTTTTAATTATTTGAATTTAGAAAGCCTGCATCTTTAGAAAATTGCAGTTGTGTAGATTATTTGTACATGCTGCTATGGTATTTTTGTTCTAGTGAAAACAATTGTTTCACTCATGAGGTTACATTTTATAAATTGGGCTTGTATAAGAATGATATGTTGCAAATCCATCCATGTTCCAAACGATTCAACAATCCATCAGAAATTAGTTCGATGGTACTTATTGTAGATGACCATATTGCTTTACACCGACTACTTGACGACAAATTTTTTGAAATTCCTCTTCGAACACAAAGTAAAGGCGTTGAAACAGCACAGTGGTAAGTTGTTGGAAGTTGATGAAATACCTGAGTAATCTAATCCTTTATTTATTTACCATCTCTTCAGGGTATATTCTCGGGGAAATGCGGGACAGCGCTAGACCATGGTGTTACTGCTGTTGGATATGGTACAGAGAATGGTGTCAATTACTGGATTGTCAAGAATTCATGGGGTGCAAGCTGGGGAGAGAGTGGCTACATCAGGATGGAGCGTAATGCAGGTTACACTGGAAAATGTGGAATTGCAATGGAGGCCTCTTATCCTATCAAGAATGGTCAAAATCCCCCGAACCCTGGCCCATCTCCTCCATCTCCAATAAAGCCTCCTTCTGTTTGTGATGATTACTATGCTTGTCCAGAGAGTAGCACCTGCTGCTGTGTCTATGAATATGCCAACTATTGCTTTGATTGGGGATGTTGTCCACTCGAGGGTGCCACCTGCTGCGAAGACCATTATAGTTGTTGCCCCCATGATTATCCCATATGCAACACATACTCCGGGACCTGCTTAATGGTAAGAATTAATTTTTTGCTATCTTCATTTACTTGCAAAGTTTTCAAAAGATGCGTCTTCGTTTACCTTCTTCAATGAAACAGAGCAAGGACAACCCATTAGGAGTGAAGGCAATGAAGCGCGTTCATGCTAAGCCTCAATGGGCCTATGCGAATGATGGAAAGACGAGCAGTGCTTGACAAAGCTTCTTCGCAGCCTTTAAGCAGTGGATAAAGGAAGCAGTGTTGAAAGAATTATAGCAATGCTTGATGGTCTACTTGGTATAACTATTCTGCACACCTCATTTCCACTAGATGGATTTTCAACTAATGATCATCAGATGCTTATTATGTATATAATACTATTTAAAGCATTGGAAGGATTATGTAATAGTGGCATTTTTCGGAATGCATTTTCATGTCAATTTTAAGAACAGATTTTGTGAAGCCCAAAATTTTGAAACATCAAGGTAATTATTAAGGCAAAGGAAACTGACTTAAATCAAATATCACCATTGAAATTTAACATTACAAACTTCACCACCTCCCAAAGTCTCGGGAACAATGCTTATTAAAAAATTGTCCGATTACAGTCCAAGAAGAAAAAGAAAAGAAAGGGTGCATTACCTTGATGGGAAATTATTCAATACTCCCGGAGTACCACGTGTCCATACTCCAAACCAATCACCAATTAGTTAGCCCCATGTTGTCCCTCCATTTCCAACATAAATCGTGGGTCCTTGTGTCTCTCCACCAATCAAAATCTTATGGAGCACCACGTGTCCATACTCCGGGAGTACTGAATAATCACCCTACGTTGATAGTCACCAGATTTTGCCGTTTATGTCATTCATATCCCTTTACTTTCAATTAGTTTAATTTTGATTTTTAATTTTAAATTTTGTATTTATTTGGTCCAATTGAAGACGTCATTAGGGTTTTTAACAATAAAATGATCATTGAGTTGGTTCTGATTAACTCATTAAATTGATCAAGTTTATAATTTTATCCCTTAAAACGTGAAACATGTTGTTCATGTGCACATTTTTCATGAAAAATACTAATAATTGTAATCAATTACACTAAATTGAGGCACAATCATAAATTCATGGTCAAAATCGAGTCAATTGAAATTATAAAGATTAAAATGACGCAATGACCAAAATATAGTAGCGATGATCAATATAATTTACCCAAAAAGAAAATAGAACACAGGGCACTAAGGATTTTTTTTTTAGGTGGAGAATTAGGGCACTATACTGAGGTTAAGGCAATCAGGCTTTGGACACATTCTAGTTAACCAGGGTTCCATTGAGTCATTGGTTGCAAACTCCACTTCTAGCTTCCTGCTTCATCGAAACTTGACACGAAATACATGAGCTACAAAGCGGTGTTTGGCAACTTAGTTTTTGAATTTTTTATTTTTTATTTTTTTCACTACAAGACAAATATTTTACAAAATAAAAAAAAAACAAATCCAAACAAAATATCACATTAAACTCCATAATCATTTCATTTTTTCTCTCACAAACATCACATCCAACCACAAAAAAACCTAACTATCTTCCCAAATACAAAAAAAAATTTCTCCAATAATATCCTACAACTAAAAAAATCTACAAAAAAAACTCACTTCCCAAACACCCACAAAGTCTAATAGAAATTGAAAATTCGATGGAAAGCTAATTCAACCATTACCCCCACTGAAAAACTAAGAATATAAAACAATGACAAAGATCTAGTAAAGGAATTCAAAGAATAAAAGTTCAATAACAAAACAAGCATTATATTAATTTCAATGCCTCCCTACAGGTTATTTAACTAAGTCTAGACTAGGTTAACTTCCCACGGAATACCTCTTCTACGTAAAAACCACCAAACTTCGCTTTAAGCAAATCGGTGCCCTTTTTGTGAACTTCTACCTAGATACCACTCCTAAAGTTATTGTGGATACCACGCCTTTCGGTGCACCCGCATGTTGGATTTTACACTCAAAATCAAGTGTGAACCATCAAGATTTAAGTGGCAATGAATTGTTTATCCCACAAGTTTCCAAAATAGACCGATTCAGATAAAGGAGCCGTCTGTTAGTTATCACCCCATGTGAAGGGTGATTCTCCATGTGCTGCAAGAATTGGCAAAGCCAACACACATGAGCTGGCCATGTTAGGAAGCCATGTGAAGAAGGAGTTGGCACAAGCTAGCCATGTGCTGGCCAGCCGCTCCATCCACCATTCTGAAGTGTATAAATGAAGATGGGTGAGAGGAGAACAGAGAGAGGGAGAGCAGAGCAAGCCACAGAGAGTGAGATATGTGAAGCGGAGAGACCGTCTCCCTCGGTGTGAGCGAGGGAGACGAGCGAGTGGGTGAGTGAGGAGAGTGTGAGCTCCTCCTCTATTGTAATCTTTCTATAATATCTCCATTGTTATAGTGATAACCGGCTACTCTCCCGTGGACGTAGGCATTGAGGCCGAATCACATTAAATATTATGTCTCCTTGAGTGTGGGTGTGTTTTTCTGCATGGAATAATTTCTATAAGGTCTTGGGCGGGATCCCAGATCCCAACAACGTCATCTAGTTTTTATGGGAAACTAAGAAACTATTTAAACTATTCAATTTAGGTACTGATTTGTCACAACTAAAAAATTGCTCCGAGAGTTTGGATACAAATGATTGGTAATATGAGCACCACTCTTACCCAATCAAATGATTAGCTTTTACTATTTCTATTTTATGAGATTTATGACTTTATTTGGCTTTCACGAAGTCAATTATGAACCATAAATCCTTCAAACTATTATCTATGTGATTGAAAGAGAACAAGGAATATCATTTAAATTCGAAACCTTCTATATTTGTCAATATTTTATTACCAAAAATAGTTTTAGGAAACTTCCCAAAAGAGGAAGTTTTTAGAAATAAAAGATTTTATTTCCAAAATTGATCTTTAAAAAACTTTCCATTCCAAAGTGGAAAGTTTCCAAAAATAATAGTAGATTTTCCTTATTCACCCAAAAAAAAAAAAATAGTAGATTTTCCAAAATATGCCAAGTGAATATTCCTAATCTAAGCAATATTATCAAAACACTCTAAACAAGGCATAGATATGGCATGCATTCTAATGAACAGTGATGCAAACAAATTTGGTGATGTTGCGTAGGGTGCGCAGCAGCATCTGCTGTGCGGTGAAATGGACCCATTTCGGTACCTTGGTTTATCCCACAAGTTTCCAAAATAGACCGATTCAGATAAAGGAGCCGTCATCTAGTTTTTATGGAAAACTAAGAAACTATTTAAACTCTATTCAATTTAGGTACTGATTTGTCACAACTAAAAAATTGCTCCAAGAGTTTGGATACAAATGATTGGTAATATGAGCACCACTCTTACCCAATCAAATGATTAGCCATTACTATTTCTATTTTATGAGATTTATGACTTTATTTGGCTTTCACGAAGTCAATTATTAACCATAAATCCTTTAAACTATTATCTATGGGATTGAAAGAGAACAAGAAATATCATTTAAATTCAAAACCTTCTATATTTGTCAATATTTTATTATCAAAAATAGTTTTAGGAAACTTCCCAAAAGAGGAAGTTTTTAGAAATAAAAGATTTTATTTCCAAAATTGATCTTTAAAAAACTTTCCATTCCAAAGTGGAAAGTTTCCAAAAATAATAGTAGATTTTCCTTATTCACCCAAAAAAAAAAAAAAAAAAAAAAAAAAAAAAGTAGATTTTCCAAAATATGCCAAGCGAATATTCCTAATCTAAGCAACATTATCAAAACACTCTAAACAAGGCATAGATATGGCATGCATTCTAAGCAATATTCCTAATTTGGTGATGTTGCGTCGGGTGCGCTGCAGCATCTGCTGTGCGGCGAAATGGACCCATTTCGGTACCTATTTTGATAATCTGAACCGTTCACATTTTAGAATGCATCAAGTGGAACATGCTTGCAAAAAATCAAGTTAATTGGATATGGTTTACCTATTCATCCACTCACATTTGTATTCATTTTAATACTTTAAATTACAATTATTATTTATTTTTATAGATAGAAATATGAGTGGATGAATAGGTAAACGATACTCGATTAACTTAATTTTTTGCAAGCATGTTCTACTTGATGTATTCTAAAATGTGAACGGTTCGGATTATCAAAATAAGCCCTAAAATGGGCCCATTTCTCTACACAGCAGATGCTGCTGCGCACCCCGCACAGCAGCATCCCCAATCTCGATTCGAACACATACAATATGTAAGAAAAAAAGAAGAGGACTCACCGAGTACTCCTTAGCACCACACCATGAAAAATATGTTAGTAAACAATGTATATGAACCTAAAACATGCTTTTTAATGTACAAACACAAAAGCATGAACCTATGACGTGATAGGCGTCTAATCATGTAATATGCATATATAATATCAACATGATTAAAACAAACTAAAAATAAAACAAACTGCAATCCACACAGGGGATGATGAACTTATTTAGTGCAGCTGCCATCTTAGTCAACACATGGACATCTTTGGCAATTTTTAGACTTTCCAGATCAAGAATGACCTTGATCTAATCAGGGCTACCTTCAATTGCTTTTCTTGTGGCCAAGTAACCTAGGAACTTATCTGAGCCAACTTCAAAAGCACACTTTGAGGCATTCAGACGGGGCCTGAATGCCTTCAAGATGGTAAATACTTCTCTTATGTCGGCTAGGTGATCCTCAGGTTCCTTGCTCTTCATAGCCATGTCGTCGATGTGGACTTGAATTGTTTGACCGATCAAGTGCTTCGACATCTTTATCACAAGCCTTTGGTATGTTGTCCCTGTATTCTTCAGGTCAGAAGGTATTACTCTGTAGCAGCACAAACCTTTAGGCCTGATATAGGTAGTTTCCTCTTCGTCGAGTTCATATATGGCTTTATAGTGATAACCTCTGTAGGCATCCAGAAAGCTCATCCTCCCATTCCCCAAGGTGGTATCAACTAGTTGGTCAATCTTTAGTAATGAGAAGCAGCCTTTGGGACAAGCCTTGTTTAGACTTGTGAAATCCGTACAAACCCTCTATTTCTCATTTTTCTTCTTTACTAACACCATGTTGGAAAGCCATGTTGGGTAGTCGACTTCTCAGATTACTTGAGCTTCAAGAAGCTTCTTTACATCTTCTACCAATACATCAATGTGGATTAAGGTAGGTCTCATTCCCTCTGGATAACTAGTCGAGCGGTTTGTTGTGGCACGTGACCTTGGTACTGATGCCAAGCATCTCGTACGATGACCTTGGTAGGTCTCAATGCGGATTAAGGTAGGTCTCATTCCCTCTGGATAACTAGTCGAGCTGTTCGTTGTGGCACGTGACCTTGGTACTGATGCCAAGCATCTTGTACGGTATCTAGGCAAACACCTCTATGTTTTTCCTTGGAAAACATTCAAGTTGT